GAAAGGCTGGCCGGCTAGGTCTGGCGTGGGAAGGAAAGTTGATGGGAACTGTTAGTATTAAACTAGCGAAACCTTCGGCAGCTAAGGGGCAGGAGGGTCTCACTGGCACTGACTGGCACCCGACGAGGGAGTCGGGGCTTAGGCGTTCTGGCAGCAACTTCACAGGTTCGCATCCTAGCCGTGCATATCACCTCCCTCTCTCTGGACGTCAATTTAAACAGACGCTCACAGATTCCGGATTTAACGCAAGGAGACCGCAGATGCAGCCTACCTTCGTTTGGCACCGGAGGGCGAGAAAACGCTTTTCTAAAAATGGAAGAGGACAGCCACAAAACAGCTTGTCCTTCCCCTTCAATACAAGTCCCCGCGGAACCCGGAGGTCGGGAGGCCCGGAGCGGGAGCACTGGCCGGCGGGGCCGAGAGCGGAGGCGGCTCGGGCCCTCCCCGGAGGCCGAGCGCGGCGGCGCGGCCCACAGGCCTCCGCGAGGCCCAGGGCGACGCCCGTTCCTGGCACGGCGCGATCCCTCCCCGCGGCAGCACTGACCTGTCCGGGGCCCGGCCGGGCCTGACCGGGCGGGGCCTACGCAGCCCCTCGGCCCGGTGCCGCCTGGAGCGGGGGCCCGGGCGGGCCGCGTCCTCTGCGCCGGGAGCCTCCGAGCCGGGGCCCGGGGCTGCCGCGGCACATCCGACCGCAGGGCCCGGCGGCCTGGACAAAGGGCGCGGGGCGCGGGGCCGAACAGGCGAGCGGCTGGCGACCGGGCTGCGGCGAGCGCTCGAGGGCTGCGACGCCGCGGAGACAATGCGGCGCGTCCGGGCCGGCTCCCGGGCCGCCTCCGCCCGGGCGGGGCGAGGGCGGGGCGAGGCGGCGCGGGGCGGGGCGGCGGCCGACGCGGCCCGCGCGCTTCCTTTGTGCGCCCGAGCCCCGCCCCGCGTCCTCCGGAAGGCTCGGAGGCGTCCGGCGCTGGGCCTCTGGGGACCCGTGGCCTGTGACCCCCGCCCCGGTGGCTCACTGTGGGGTCTCGGAGGCGAGTCTTAATGATTGAGGGTTAGTGCGTGTCAGGGCGAAGTGCAAGCACCCTCTCCCTTATTGTCCACAATAACCCTCCAAGTGGTCATTATCCTCCCCACTGGGAGCGAGGATCAGAGGTGAAGTAATGACCAAAGGGACCCAGTCCTACCTCCATAAAAGGCGTAATCCCTACCGCCAGGTTTAATGTGAGGGTTAACTGATTTACAAATTGCTTGCAGTGCCTGGTGCACAGTGGGAGTCCAATAAATGTTAGTTTTCTTTCTCAAACACTGTTTTAACTTGAACTGTCCTGGCGAGGTACCTTCAAGCAGTAAGCAGGCTAGGAGCGCTGGGTGTACGCGGACATGAAAGTGGCACCATCCTCAGAGTAACTACTGGATGGACACAATGACTCCCCATTCCTGACGTCCCTCTAGTCTCAGTATTTTCCCATCCCTTGATTTCCTTAATTCATACCTCCCCCACCACACTGTCTTTTCCCCTGCTCCTACTTCACTTTGCCCATGTTTTCTCTTCCCTGCAGGCTTCTCCCCCTTTCTCGACCCCTGTTCCTCCTTTTTCTCCTTTACAATCTTTCAACCTTTTTTTGCAGTAGAATTCACATTTCTCTTTCCCTCACATGTTTGGTTTTAAAGAGGAAGATGACAAGGGACTGAACATTCAACTTCTGTCCAGCACTTGGCCACACTTCTGCCCTCTGCCTTAACTTCCACAGTCCTGTCAGAAAGGTGCTGTCCCTGACATTACAAGTACTACCCATCCTTCAAGGTCAAAAAAAAAAAAAAAAAAAAAAAAAAAAAAAAACAAAAAACAAAAAAAACTAGCAGTTGGCAAACTTCCGAAAGGGGCCACAGAGGAAATAAATACCTTAGATCTTGTAGACCATATGCTCTGAGCCCCAGCTGCTCCATCCTACTGTTGCTGAATCTGAGAGCTGCTGTAATGAATATGTGAGTGTCTGTGTTCCCACAGAGCCTCACAATGAACATGAACATCTGAGTCTCGTGGAAAAGTATTACGTTTGTTATTAACTTTCAGGGCTGTACGAACACTGGCAATGTAACAGATGTAGCCCAGGGGCTACAGTTTGCCAACCCCTGCTTTATAGCAATGCCACTTCTGACCTGAAATCTAACCTGATAATCTCCCCTTGGCAGTCACTTCTCCCTCTGGAACTTGGAAAGCATCTACCAAGAGCCCTTTGTGGCATGTATCAAAGTGTAGCTTTCATTGTAGTTTCCTGTGTGTTCTTCTTTGTCAGAAGACTCTAAGCTCCTCGATGGTAGGGAGAAGTTCTTATTTCTCTGGGCCTTACCATACAACCTACAGGGCTTTGTCCCCAAGTGGTCATTCAAACACAGACAGTGCGTGTAGCTGTCTTAGGTGGCTGGTAATTTATCTCCACAAAGCTGATTTCTCTTGGAAGATGGGAACCTCAAGGTCCTTGCTTGTGTTGTATTTATGGCCTTGCTTGGACTTCAGAAATTTCTGACAGCCTTATGGACCAAATAGAAAAAAGGAAGGCAAATGGCAGCTGACTTGGGGGTTGTTGGATAACTGTACTTGAATGAAGTGTTGGTTACCAGCACTCTGGAAGCACTCCATGGCTCCTCAGGTGGGTCCTATATGGCACTTCCATCAGCAAGCTGGTAAAAGAACACATATTCTGGAAGGACTTGGGCTACTTCTTCCTGAGTTTGTTTGACCCTTCTAGAATAGAGAGCAGGGTAATGCTTACTCCTGTCACTCACCTGTAGCCACGCTGTGCATAATGAATAACAGAATTCAGAAGCAGGACATGCCTGCCTCTCCAATGACTCTTTAAATGAGTCTTTAAAATGAAGATAATGAAGTTCTGACCCACACCCCAAGGGCAATTATCAGGATCCAGGGAGGAAATCTATGTAAAGCCTGGCAGAGAAAGTTCAAGGATAGCTTTATGAATGATTGTTATTCTATGGAACTGTGGGCTAAATTAATACAAGAGCATCCAACAGACATAAGTAATTGTACGTTTGTTCAAAATGCAAGTAATACAAGGTGGAGACCAAGGAGACCTAATAAGACAGCAACTCCTATCAAAGAAACCTCAAAAGCAAAAGCAAAACAACCCAGCTTCCTGGAATCCAGTTGACACAACACCCTGGCCCAATAACACTGTTCCTGCTGGATGGAGGAATGAAAGTATGGCCTTGTGTGTATGGCTGATAAAGGTGGGTGAAGGAGCTCAGCACTTGGGGCTAGAGCCAGGATGTTGCCCTCTCATAGCCCTGTAACCTGGAGCTGCTCATTGGCTTTTGTCCCCACTTCTAGAATGAAGAGGACAGTGATGCTTATTTCTCAAGGGTATCGTGAGTGAGTAAAGGACTTTTGTGTGTGTGTAATTTTCTGAGACAGGGTTTCTTTGTATAACAGCCCTGGCTGTACTGGAACTCACTCTGTAGACCAGGCTGGCCTTGAACTCACAGATATCCACCTGCCTCTGTTTCCTGAATGCTGGGATAAAGAAGTTCCCGACCACTGCCTGGCTGAGATGGTAGCTTTTGATATTTGGAGTTAATGTGTTTAATTTGGGGAGTTACACTTTAAGAGAATCAATGAAAAAGTAGAATATAGAAAAGCATGACTATAAATATATAGGAATGGGGGTCTTGACATGCCATGAGGGGAAATTAAAAACAAAACAAAACTAAGGCCTTTAGATACCCACCCAACCCTGGACAAGTTTCTAGAAACATTATGAGATAGACTCTTAAATTTGTAGCAAAGGATTACAACCAGGTAAGTTCCAGAACCACAGGTTCTGACTTAATTAGAAGAGGAATTTTCTAATAACTGGAGAGGATTCTGTAAGGGAATGGCTTGTTTCCCTCCTGCCCTCCTTTCTTCAGGGTTGGGGATGGAGCCCAGAGTAGAACCCAGGGTCTTACACATGCTCGACACGTGTTCTGTCACAGAGGCACACCCCAGACCTAGAACAGCTTTTCAGGAGACTCTCATCCTTGCAAGCCCACAAAAAAGGGAATGGATGACCTTCATCTTTTCATTTCTCGTGTGCACGATCCATATTCTTTAGCTTTCTCTTTCCTTGATCCTACCCTCACTCCTTATAGGACTATTTAACTTCTAATACCTTGTTAATTTTTGGATCCCCAAATATTTCTCCCTTCAAATCTCCTTCAATTTTTTTTTCCTCTTGCTTTTCCCACCCCTACTCTGAACGCACATTTTGTATTATGGCTGGAGCTGCCTCCCTGAAATGTCAAGCAGCCCTTGGCTCAGAATGGCTGTGAGATCTAGGCCAAGATCACTGTTCAGACTGGCAGAGAAGAAGGCCAGCAAATGGATCACTACAGAGGGCGGAGGTACCACTGTGACTCTCCCACCAGGGCAGAGTGCTCCAGCAGAGTGTCCTGAAACCCAGGCCATGGGCAGTCCACTTGTCATTCAGATAGACAGATGGAGACCCCAGAGATGAGCATGGTTCCCTCAAAGATATTCTCTGCAAGCTGAGCTCACTCCGAGTCCCCTTCTGGCTCCCCTCTGAGGCATATCCCTTCTCTTGGAGACTCTGCAGTCCTCTGGCCATGATTAATCTCAAGCACTCCACTCCCTCTGACACCTCCACTGTCAGCTTGGCCCACGTACATGCAGCATTCAAAATCAATGGCAAAAGAGTTGTAGAACCTGACTCTTGGACTCATAGAGATCTGCCTGCCCCTGCTTCCCGAGTGGTGGAATTAAAGGCGTGCGCACCACCACCCGGCTGCTCTTGCTTTTCTATCTTTTGGGTTATCCTTCTTTGTCCCTGGCCCATGCCCTCACTACCCTCTCTGTGTCTAGCTACCAAGCTACTGTGTTGCTTCATTATGTTTTAGGTAGTTTACCCACCCCCTCCTAGATGCCAAGGAAAAGGAACCAGGTAGTGGCAGGGCAGGCTGACTCCCCCCTTCCCCCCAACACTTCATACCGTGAGCTGGGCACTGCTGGATGTTGGGGCTCTTGGGTACAGGCAGGCCACCAGGCATGGCAGTAATGATGGCTTGTTGGTGTGGGAGTGGGCCTGACTGAGTCACAGGCACACTCTTCTCGCCTGGTACTACTTCCTTCCAGTCATCAGGAGCACACTGCTGGGGCTGTCAAGGGGCAGGACAGAGATGAGTCTCATGAATTGCCTCTGCAATCTTGGACACTACCCTTGTCCCTGTGGAGCTTGAGCAACAGTCAAAGATGTAAAGATTAAGTTGTCTCTAAGTCGGGGAGAGCCCTCTCTTCTTCCTGGGATATTCAGAGACAGTTTCAACTTTCAGCCTACATTGAAATACCCCCGAGATGGGACTACAGGACTGCCTGAGCTATGGCTTGCCTACTGTTCCCTGTTCCCCGATATCAGCTTACTTACCACTGGAGAAGCAGGCTGTAACTGTAAGATCACAGCTGAGGTGTGCTGGAACCTTCGCTGAGGGGTATGGGACACACCCTCAGGATGTCCATTCTGAGGCCCAGTGTCTGGCGTAGGAAGGTGGCACTGCTGACCGCTTCCTGGCTTATGCAGATGGGCAGTAGGGCACTGGGGTGGCAGGGCAGGCGTGACTGGACCTAGAGGCATGGCATTGTCTTCTGCGCTGGATTGTAGGGACAGGCTTGGGGGTACTGGGGAAAGATGGGGTTGGGACTGGACTTGAGGCACAGGCCGTGGTGGCTGTGGCTGCTGTGACTGTGGCTGCTGCTGGATCACAAACTGGGGCTGTGGGTGCTTTGATGATGTTTGTGGGAAGAGTTGGTGTGGCTGCAGTTGAGCATAAGCTGCAGAGGGAAAAGCCAGGTTAGACAGCATGGCTAACCTTATCCACCATGTCCTGTTCACACACAAATACAGTTTCCCAGCCCAAGAGCTCCTGTTTTCTTCCCTATTGTTTTTAATATGGGGACTGGCCTGGCCAGTGCCAGACTCTGGAAGTCTTTCTTTTCTTGCTTTTGATCTTCTTATCCAGATGAGAAACCTTACCTTAGTAACTACCATGGTGCCTTTGCCTAGAATCCATCCGAGGGCCTAACAGTACATGTTGTAAAAAAATCAGTGTATTGTCCTGACCCATATGCTATTATGCTATCAGTTTTCCTCCTTCCATTTTAACCAGGCTGGCTTTTTGAGGTCAGGATCTGCTATGTTGGTGTGAGTATGTGCACATGTGGGTACATGTGTATGTGGGTACATGTGTAAGTGTGTACGTGTGCATGTCTATATATGTGTATGTACATGTGTATTGTGTACATGTGTATGTGTGAACATATGTATGTGTGTACATGTATATTGTGCACATGTGTATTGTGTACATGTATATTGTGCACATGTGTATTGTGTACATGTGTATGTGTGTACCATGAGTGGTGAGGCAGAACTATGCCAGGTGTTTTCCTTGATCATTCTCCACCTTTTTGTTTTTTTTTGAGACAGGGTCTCTCACTAACTGGAGCTCATCAGTTTGGCTAGACTAGTGGTCTGTGAGCCCCAGGGATGTGCCCGTTTCTATTCCCTCAGGGCTGGGATTATGATCCAAATCCTAGCACCTGCCTTTTTTTTTTTTTTTTAATGGATGCTGGGAATCTAAAATCAGGTATCACATTTGCACATCAGGCATTTTACTGACTAAGGTGTGTACCCCAACCCAGGTTCCAGGTCCTTCTTGTTTATGTATTTATTTATTATTCTGAGACAGGGTTTCTCTGTGGCTTGGGAGGCTGTTCTGGAACTAGCTCTTATAGGCCAGGCTGGTCTCAATCTCACAGAGATCCACCTGCCTCTGCCTCTGCCCTCTGCCTCCTGAGTGCTGGGATTAAAGGCATATGCCACCAATGCCCAGCTTCCACCCCAAGTTCTTACTTTTTTTTTTTTTTAGAATACATGTATATATATATATGACCCAGGAGATCTAGTTCAGAGTGCTAAGCCTCTGCCTGGCAAACATCCGGGCCAGCTCAGAATATGAGCAGGTCAGCTAAATCTGTCATACTTAGTTAGATGCCACCTTCCACAGTGACTCCCACAGCCAGGGAGCTGAGTGAGTAGGTATGCCAGGCAGGCACAGAGGGCCACAGCTGGACACTCACAGCCATATTTATACAACCACAGAAGGATAGACAGATTGTGGGTTCAAGCTATCATTCACAAAGAACCCCAGGACTCTGAAACCATAAAGGTTTCAAACTGAGTTGGGGAAGGTATGCTCTTTCTTCCATTTTGCCCCTTTACATGCAAGTTCCTACCTGCCACCACAGCCCCATATGGAATTCCAAGCAGGATGCCAACAGGAATAGAAAAGAAAGAACAGAAACAGGAGCTACCAGGAAGCAAGAGCAGAATAGAGTTGGGGCCGGGGGCTGGACTGTGGTCAGAGACACAGTGAATAAGGCTGGTACAGCAGGTTCCTGTGGATGACAATGAGTGATGAACCAAGAAATGTGGAGATCAGTGTGGATTTAAGGGGGATGTACTGGATTTAAGGGGCTTGAGGGGATGGATGGAGGAACCTGCACAGACACTGCCAGTAGGCATTTGGGGATTATAAACTTTATAAACTGTCTGTGACTCCAGTCTAAGCCCCGCCCCCAATTTCTCATTGCATAGACAATGAGACAAACAAACAAAACCCTGCTCATCAGGCATAAAGATAACTCGCGGTAAGGGGGTCCTGGGGGGGCCATCAGGGTCCAATGACTAGAGTGGCCTGTGGATAAGATGCTGGCCAGAGTCACTCCACAGGCTGCTGTCTGAGGGAGGAGGGCTGGAGATGGGCCAGATCTGAGGGGCTGAGGGCATCCTGGATGATGACCTGTCACCTGATGCTGTGAGAACCAAGATAAGGTCTTCTTCCTGTCGGTGTGCTTCATTGCCACAGAGGCCTGGTCTGAGGGCCACACTGCTCTTCCAGCTCTACATCTTCGCAGAGACCATTAGGAAAATGGTTTTTAAAATTTAGGACTGATTGTGGCTGGGAATATGGCCCAGTGGGGGAACTGCCTGCTTTGCAAGTAAGAGAATCAGAGTTTGGCTCCCTTATGCCCACATAAATGCCCGGGTTCGGGTGGGTGTGGCAGCTCACTTGTAAACCCAGCACTTGGAAGGTGGATATAGGGGATTCCAAGAGAAAGTTGGCTAGAGAGTCAACTTGGGATTCAAATGGGAGCTCTGTCTCAGTACGTAAGATGAAGAGTGACTAAGAAAGACTGCTGATACCAACCTCTGGCTTGCATACATATACATGTAAATATTCACATGAATTAAAAAAAAACAAGGATGAAGAGAAAAAATAACATAGGTTCTAATGCTAAAAGACATGAAGAGCAAGGTTAGGAGACACAAAGAACACAGTTCCAGCCATGAGAGATGTGGGTTTGATTTTGCCATGTGCTCCCATCATAATTTGGTGCCTCACCATAAGCCTGAAGCACTAAAGCCATGGACTAGAACCTACAGAGATGCGAGCCAAAGAGAAACCTTTCTCTCTTGGTGAGCTGATGAGTGCAGCAATGGGTTACAGAGATTTGAAAAGGGAACTGCTGGCCTCCTGGCCCCTGTCCTGTGACCCTCCTCCTATCCTACCCTTACTCCAAACTGTGGCACTCATGTGAAACTACAATTGTTTCAGGACAAATGATGTCATATCTGCCCAAGCTGGGATGAGAGCTCAGAAGGGTGAGCTCACAGATCAAAGGCGGAAAAGTATTTTGGGGAAGTGTGCATCATTAATCTTTGGGGGTTAATAAGAAGCAAAGACGATGGCTTAACTGCAGCATTATCCTGGGTCAAGCATCCTTTTGTTCGGTATATTGCAGTAACTTTCTACTTAGTCTTCCTGGTTTCTTCCTGCTGCAATCCATCTTATGGACAGAGTTCTAATGAATCTCTCCAGTGCACAGATACAACCCCTGACTAAAAAGCAGCACGGGCTCTCCTTTGTCCAGTTGTCCAAAGCCCTGGCATTCAATATCTCTTTGTAGCCTAAACCAAAATCTTTCATTTGTAATTATTTATCCAACCAAGCATCCTGTGTTGTTTCCTGTGTAGCACTGGTACCTTTTGGTCCGGCCACAGACTGAGATTTAGTCATCTTCCTCTGAGCTGTACCGTCACTGGGCTTCCTCCTAGCTCTGGATTGCCACTGAGGGCACTCTGTTCTGCCCTCAGTGTAGTCTGCTGAACGGTCAGTGGGATATTTGAGCAACCAAATACTTTGATTTGAGTGACAGCTCTACCACTTAGAAGCTGTGTGATACTGGTTAGCTCTGGATCTCTGTGTCATCATCTTTAAAATGGGTTAAACAATGCCTATGTCATAATTGTTTTAGTAAATCACTAATCCCTTTGGTGGATGGAATTTACATAACCCACTTATTTCTTCTAAGATAACATGAATGTTGCAGATGCTCAGTCAGCAATGCTCACTGAGTGAACGACAACAAGGTAGGACTCTATTTGTGGGATCTGTTTCTCCCATAAAACTGCTTCTCATCGGGGCCAAACTGTGAGTGACAGGTGCAATCTTTCAGGCCAGTGTGATCTCCCTGGGAACCCTGCACCTGTCCTATCCTTGCTCATTAACTTCTTGGACTAACCTTCAGTAGCCCTAAATGACCTATTTGTGCCATAAATGGCACGTTGCTGTTTGTGTGCCTCTGGGGCCCCAGCTGCAATGTCTCCATTTGCTGGAATGTGTCCCTTCTGCTTCAGTGACCTCTGGTTTCAGGGTTTTGGCTCAGGCTTGGCTCTCATTTTCTCCACTTGCCAGAATCCATAGTTATCGGTGTTTTTTAGATGCTTCTTCTATTAGATCCATTGTGCAGTAGCATAGCTTTGCTTAAATATGCATTTCACTGACTCTTAAGCATGGATCACCTTCCCAGCCCCCACTTTAGCAACTTCAAAATGATGCCTGCTGAATAACAGCATGTTTCCTTCTAAGAGTCAGCGAAGGTTCAACTTTCAATCACATGAGTCTTCTGTGAAATGAAATTTTGGGGAACACTTTTATGTACATATGCCTTATCTTTCCAGCCAAACAGAATGCTTTTTGAGTTGAAGACATACCTTACTACTAACTGAAAAGACATGCTTCCATTTCATTTAAAAGGTGAGTTTCTTTTACTTTCAGCATAGTCCAGCAGAATATTTTACATCTTTATGGGTACTCAGAGACTATCTGCTGCCAATCATAGAAAGATCAGTTCATCCCCACCCTCTTTAAGACTATCCCAATTCAGTCTGAGGGCACTGCAGGGAGACTTTTATCTCTGAAGCCATGGTACAAGAAGAAACCATGCCCTACTCTCTACAGGCAGGATGGGGCACATTTGTGAAATATAAATGCACAGAAATCTCTGAGCCTGTACTATTTCTTCCTAAGCAACTGCTGTGAAACCCATTGCTTCTGAGAAACCCAACGGGTTGGTTCCATGAGACATCCGTCACAACTTTGAAAAGTCACCCTGGGCCTTTCTATTATGGCATAGGGGTGTGGTGATGCTGGTGGTGGGAGAGAGACACACAAGACCAAATCACAAGCCTAGGTAGGGCCTCTGATGACCAGGTTCTAGGCCAAAGGAGAGACCCCTGGCAATGTTCAGTTTCCTGGCTTCTCCCCTGACCTTGCGTTGGCTCCCTGGAATCCGACCAGGCCAATTCACTGCTTCCAAACCAGTTCCTTGGTAGTGACAACAGGAGTAAGGTCTCCTAGACAGAAGGGAGCCGCTGAGGAGTCATCAGCATGTCCCTTAACCCCTGGTTGTATCTACTGCCAAGGTTTGTC